AAACAACAGCAACAATAACAATAACAATAACAATAACAACAATAATAACAACAACAGCAACACCAACAACAATAATAACAACAACAATAACAATAACAAAAACAAGAAGGAAAAGAAAAAAACAAAAATAGGAATGTACATCAACTAAGAAATGATACCTAATAAGAAATAGCATAATGGGGAGAGAGAGAATGTAGCATGACCTCTGTCTATCTGTCACATTCTAGAAAACTTCCCTCTCAATGTTGATAAAAAGTGTCTAATGTATTGTCAACATTTAGGAAACAATTACAGAATTAAACAAATGGTTAAACAAAAGGCAGTTATATTTTTGCATGTATGTATATTTCTGTGTGTGTGTGTGTGTGTGTCTGTGTACGCGTCCGTCTGTGTATGTGTGTGTACGTGCTGTTCTGGACAAGTTTTTTTAAAAAAAAAGAAAAAAAAAGAAGCTTAACACGCTTCCTGCTTATTTATCAGTAAAATATTTTTTTTCTCCTTTTTCTTTTTTTTTTTCAATGATTTTATTCTCGCATCAGTCTAGAATTTGAACTATAAAATTCGAAATTATATTTTCAGTACTGAGATATGAAGTAAAAAAGCACGTAAAAATTAAAATTGTTCAATATCACTTTTATGTAAAAATGATTATTGTAAATTTTATATTTTTGCAGAAAAATTTAACGGAAACAATATGTTTACACAAAAATTCCATATAAATAATGGAGAACTTGAAATAGTACTGAAATATCTTTTGTGTTGCTTTTGCATTGTTTACAAAAAACAAAAAAGCGGAAGAAGAAAAAATATTCGAAAAATGTTTGATTATTAAATCGAATATTTGTTTATTTTAATGATTAGAGAATGAAACAGGTGGTGAGAATAGAATTAATTCCTCGAGATAAAATTGATCTTAAACATATGTATACAAATATTTGGCAAATCTGAAATGCAATTAAAAAAGTTATTTAATTAATTGTAACATAACCTTCAAGAGTCTTAAAGGGATCTCTAATTTCATTGTAAATTTCAAGTGTCTTCGAGAATCTCCAATTTCAATGTAAGTTTCAAGAGTTTTCGAGAGTCTCTAATCGTAAATTTAAGTTTCAAAAATGTTCGAGAATCACCATTACGATTAATTTAAAAACATTTAAACAGCATCATCATATAAAATCCAATTTATGTTAGAGGAAGTATTCATTAATTTTTCTTTGTTTTCTCAATAAATCCTTTGCAACATAAATTTGTGTGATAAATTGATGTTTGGAAATTTTATGAAATTCATTCACGTTAAAATTCTAGCAGCTAAACAAATTATTTTCATTAGAAGTATCTTTACTATTCAAACATTTAAAAAAAAAAAAATACTTATATAAGAATTTCTATTTCAATGTAACAATCCACAAATTAAAAAAAAAAGAAACAGTTGAAGTTGAAAGTAAATACCTAAATTTAATGATAAAGAAAGGTACACAAATATGATTAGTGTAGTAATCAATATTGATATCATACATTCATTAATCTAGCTGCTAGTTATTAAACTTTAAACATGTGTTGCTATCCTGCAATAAGTTGAGTTCAATGATGCAATATGCCATCATCAGAATAGCTCATATGATAAGCCAGATTTGATAATGGTGCAATGATAATTTTATCAAATTTCTAAGCATGATGATATTCTTGTTTAAGATCAATTTTTGGCTAACAAAAAGATCATGCATATCCTTTCAAATGAAATTGATATAAAAATATGGAAAAGAAGTGAAATAGCATAGCATAAATGTTACTGTTGTATTCAAATTCATGAATTTCTAGATTCGTCATTCTAACAGAATATTAATTATGAGATATGCATATGTTATCATCGTTGGATGATAAGAAATGCGGCAATTTTTTCTTTCGCTTTTTTTTTTAAATTTATTTACAAGTTGATTTCAAATTTTAAGCAAATTTGTTACGAATTAATTGAATAAGATAAGAAGTTAGGTTAAAGGTCAAATGAAAGGGGATAATAAAGAATGAAAGAAAAGACAAATGGAAATATTGATTCATCATTATTGTAGAATCAAAGGAAAAAAAAAATTCTTCAATATTATGCGACTAATAAGTAAAGTAACATAAGCAAATTTAAAATTAATTAAGTAATTGCGTAAGATAGTAAATAAAGTGAAATATGGGAAACAATAAATGAGATAAGGATGATAAAATTTGATAATGATTGATAATGGAATTAAATTACTGTTAATAAACAGTAATTGTTAAAATAAAAAGCAATGATATCAGTAAATTTTACCTGATAATTATTCAGTAAATCTTTGAGTTAATCATTCCATTCAGTTATCATCACAATATGATGATGGGATGATTGCTAATTGATGTAGCATAAGAAACATTTATATAATGTGAATTAGCAGTACAAAGATTTAAACTGGAAAAAAAAAAGTACAAAAAGAAAAATGTATAGAAACAACTTGACAAAAAAAAAGAAAAGTTATAACAAAAGTATTGCTAAGAGCAATTGTCGAGAATTGTTTATCTGCTTTATACTTCCGTTAACACTTTCCTCAATTTCATTTCCTAAACAAACTTATCATTTTATCATTCTTATCAATCATATGGATTAAATTCCATGTAAAGCAATCATAAAAATTATATTTTCATTTAACATTTATACAATATCATGTAAATTAATTTTGCTTACATTTTCCCAATTATAATGTAACAAATACGTTTCTCTTTTTTTTTTTTTTTCTTACTGCTTTTTCTCTTTCATTTCATATCTTTTAAATCTTGATGTAAGCAAAATAAAAAAAAAAAATGAGAAAATTCAATGACAATTTAATCCTAAAATTTCATACTATATTTGATTATAAATTAAAACAATTGCAGTAATATTATTTTTGATATTTAAAGGATGTTAAAAAAGATATGCAAAAAATTGCAGTAAATGGAAGAGGTATGACATTGAACGTTGACAATCATTGTATAATATTAACATTT